CGGGGTCGGGGTCCCGGCTCGCACGCGGGGCCGAGGGGAAGCGAAAGGAGACCGGGGCGCGGATCGGCGGCGGCGGTGGGGAGAGAACTCGCGCTTAAGTTTCGCGGAGGTTCCTCTGGTTGCAAAGTCCCTCTTCCTGCCGGTGCGGAGGGCTGTCTCCCCGGTCCTCGGCCGAAGGAAATGAAGGTGGACCCCGAAGCCAGGCGGCTGTGCCCCGTCTCGGGCATGGAAGGCTTTTATTCCTTGCCCTCATTGTCGGTGTTCCTTCCTCCCATCTGTTGGACTTATTTAACTTTTCTTTAAACAACTGCGGTTTTTAGTGATTTTTAAGTATTAAAAACAAATCTGCGCCTCCCCCTCAATAAAAAGCAACTAAAAAGCTTTTTGGGGGGGGGGAGTATCAATTTTTAGATGTAGCCACTTCAAGTCCTCAACCTTCACACCCAAGCGAGGGAGATGAATGAAATGGCGAGCAAAATCTAAATAAAGGTCTTTAGCTTGTAAAGGTTCCCCCGCGGTAAGAAGGAGAGAAGAAAGGGCTCCGCTCCTCTGCTAACTCTCAGCTCACCACGTTGCCATTTGTCGTTTCTGATTAAGAAAGAAAAAAAAAAAAATCAGTCAGGAAAATGGGCCAGATAATATAAGGTATTGAAGGTTTTTTCTAAAAACAGTGACAACGAAACGTCCCAAAGATGAAAACCCAAGGAGCCCAATAATTTGAACAAATGCTTTAAAAGCATAAGTAGAATTTGCAAAGTTTGTGGAGGAAAAGCGAAGGATTTTCTTGTAGTTTCCACTGAAGGCTTTGGCTAAGAAGCTCTTTCTGACTTTCAGGGCAGTGGTCTGCCACGGCTTTACCCAGCTGAATGGGGGAGAGCAGGGATCCAGAATCATTTTAGGGTCAGCCAAAGCCCCATTGCGATCATTTTCTTTTGGAGGCCTGGTGGAGACGCCCCCTCCCCCGGTTGCAAGAGGCATCATTTCAGGCTTTGTAACGTGTATCAGAAAATTAAAGGGTTCAAAAAGCGTGTATTAGAAGGTGTACTCCTCAGCCTCTCTGAATATCCTGTCAGACTTATTTCCATCATAACTTAGTAGTTAGCATCATAATTAATCACATCGAAGTTTGCTTCAGACATAGGTTCCCTGAACCACCTATTTGAGAATACAGCATGGAGCCCAGTGGAGCTGACAAAGGTGGCAGCCAGAGGGCCTGTTCACCTTCACCTCCAGCTTCTGTCCTGTTCCTTCTCTATCTTGTGCACACGCCCAAATGCAAATAAAAACTCAATCAGGAACCGTTTGCTTTCCTTACTAATGCTTTTTATATTTGGGATGCAGCAATTTGTTTTTATATTTCTTTGAGCCAGTTAGGCTCATTGTAATAAGTAATTCCTAAATCTGCAAGGTTATTATTTCAATCTGGTAAAAGGATTTAATTAACAGACTTTTTTCTTTTTAAAACTGTCAGCTGGAATTTATTTTTTAAGCCATGAATGTAACCTAGCCATTCCAATTAGAATCAAGAGATACTTTATTATTGAAGAATGGTGAAATACTCATATCTCTAAGTTTTTATCTGGGAAATTCATATTCCTAGAAATCTCACTTAATGTTACAGTTTAACAAGACTGTTCCCATCATTTTTGCTTTTATAATCCAGTCTTCTTAATCTGTTTAATGCATATCTTATCTCCCCCCTCCATGCAACAGTTTTTTTGGCAGTTTATTTTTATTAAAAGATATTATAATACACAATTTTGTTTAAGATTTCAGGAAGGCCTTTGGATTATTTTTTATCACTCCTACAAAATAAGAGGAAACGTCTATCTAGGATTTATTAAACTGTTTATGTATGTATGCACTTCACTTGTTTTGCACATAGAACCTTTTTTTTCCCTCTTGATCTGTTAATCTTCTGAACCACCCCTACAGTTGGGAGATTAGAATGAAATAAAGGGAAAAGTAGTCAAAATAAAAATATTATATGTCTTCCTGTATCACTTGCTTTAAGAACCAGAACATGATCCCCAGATGTACACAGAATCTCTCATCTTCAACATAACCTGGAAAAATTAAATTGAATATTTTCTTTGTCTCTAAAAGCCAGAATATGCTGTACCTCAGATTACCCCTCCTTCTATTCTCTATATTTCTTTCTTATTTATTCAGCATTCTGTGCTTTGCTTTGTCAAACATGCATCTCTATAAACTGTGAAAAATAAGTGATTTCTTACAAGGATTGAGTAGCCAAAACAGCATAAATGTAACATAGCCAGTGTAACTTTAAATGCAGATGCATCTTCACATTATATAATGAGGGTGCTTAATTTTTAATTTTTTAATTTTTCAAGTTCTAGAAATATTTAGTGCTTCCAAAACATTATAGTATTTTTCTCCAAACTGATTTTATGTTTATGTCCCAGAACATTAGTGTATAATTTAAATTGCCTTTGCTCTTGCTGTTTAAACAGGCTTATTTCATTTTCCTCAAGCCAGTGTAATAATGAGCAGACATGGTTTCTAGAAAATGCAAGGGAAATTATGGTGATGGCATGTACAGTGTGGGGTTTGGGGGCAGGTCAGCTTGCTTTGGTTTTAACACCAAGGTCATCCTGGTTACTATAAGGGACAGGGATCTTGGATCATCAGATGAATATTTAAAAATTAATTTCTGGAAGCGCTAATTGACACTTTTTAGTGAGGAAAGGCTTAGCGTTAAATAATGGGCATTTCTGGTTTGTGAAAGGAAATTGAAAAATAGACATGTGTGCAAATATGAAAAAAGTACCATTTCCAAAATAATGATCTGTCAACGAAATTGCAAAATCATTATGTGAGTGAGCTGAATTGCTTTGTGTATCATCTCATAGAAATATGTTTTGCACAGATAATATGTCTAATAAGGACACATTTTTGAAATCAGATTTCCCCTCCAGCAAATAACTGCACTGCAGGTCTCTCTCAGGCAGTCAACTAGCACCACCTAATGGAGGGTTGGGGAAATTGCTGCTTTCCGACTTAGGCTTTTTTTAAATGCAGTAAATTGATTTAGAAAAATAGTAATGATGGTGGTGACTGTATTAATGACAATAATAACACTTCTTTCTCCCTTCTTGTTTTCCAGGCATCAGATGCCAGCTCTGAGAAACTCTTCAATACCGTTATTGTAAACAAAGGTAAGATTAATTCTGAGCTGTGATTTATGTATTTTCATATTTGTGTTCTTGTCATTGCCTAGGAAGAAAGAATAAAAAACAACCGTCTTTTTTTCATTCTTGAACTACTGTTCATATTTTGTGGTTTAGCTTGAGATGGACTCTGTGTTCTTTTGTGGTACATTGCAAACAGTTTATTTTAAAGAATATCTTGAATCCTTATTTCAATTGATTTGAGTAAGAAATCACTACTATGTGACTTTAATGTAATGCAGGATGCGGTAATAGAGAACAATAGTTCTCAAAACGCCTTAACTTTATTGTTACTTATCAACTGCCCAGCAGTCGGAGAACTATAAATAGCCGATTTGTACTGCAGACTCTAATAACCTGTGGATGTTTATATTCGCAGCATTATGGTCATAAACCAAGTCTCACTCTGCTGTGGGCCTTCTGTAAAGTTAATAAATGAGCAAGAGGGCAAAATTTAAATATGTGCTATCCCTTTAATTTCTTCCAAACCGTAATAAAGAGTTAGAGAGGCTAACGCTGTAGCCGTACATTAAGGGAAAACGTATCTATTGCGAATAGGTTTCTGAGCAGTTTTCATTGCAGCAGTGTTGCTGGAAATAATGAAATTTAAAGGAGTGTCTACTCACAGGCCTTGCAAAGGTGTATGATTTGAAAGGGATCAATTAGATTTATAATAGAACGAGATACAGATGCTTGCGTGATAATTGCTAAACGGAGGTGTGCTTTCTGTGGGAATCCCTTCTGTGTTACCTGAAAGAGAGTAGGCAGCGCCTGTGCCGAGTTGGGCCTTCATCAAGTGAAATTTGAAACCACTTCAGCATGCCATCCTTGCCTAGGCTAGCATTTTTTGCTAGCTGGTAAGACACGTTTTCAAGTTCAGTTATTTTGAGCTCACAGATTATTTTAGAATTGGAACCAACTGCAATTTTAAATAGTACATTATGTTTAGAGTTCCCTTGAGATGTATATGCCTATGTGATTGCTATTACTCCCAGAATTATTGTCATATTGAATTTTATCTTTTTTTATTGCATAATGGAGTGTTCCAGTTTTATATTTCATCATATTTTTTTGATGGACTGAAAGTTTGTGTAAATTTGTTAACCATAATACTAAAAGCCCAATAAAAGAAGATAGGTGCAGTTCACGGCATACAGTGCTCATATGTAAAAATGCATAATTGTTTATAGCTCATTTTGATGAGGGAGAGGATCAGTAGACAGTGGTGTGTATCTGTGTGAAAGAGGGTGGGGTGGGAGGAGAAGGAGGAGACTGAGGTAGGCCAGGTCACCCAAAGGAGGTCTTCTGTGTTTCAGTGACAACCCGGCCTGGCCCCTCCCAGGACCTCCAGCGCCATGTGACTGTGTCTTACTTTGGCCAGTTTACATAAAGCTTTGGAATGTGTTTCCCCTCTCTGGGATGAGCCCTAGAGTGAGAGTTGGCTCTGAGACCTGCTTTCAGGCCTCGCTGCCCTCACCAGGCTGAAAGGCTCTCCTCAGGGCAAATGGAGAGTGATTGATAAGGAACCCCTCTGCCCCCTCCCTCCTGCTTCTGCCCCCTCCCCCTTTCCCTTTTCCAATCAAACGTTTCCCACATTCTTATTTGTGTTTACTTACAGAGTGTGATTTGTGGCATCTATTTGGTTGTGAATAGTCGCCCCTGACAGGGTGCCTTTCTTCTGAGCTGCTTTTTCTGGGGTGATTTAGTTGCCTTGAAAGGATTAAGGTTTCTTTGTGTACACTAAAATCAACACAGGCTTTTTCTAAGCTTTGCTTGGGAAACCATACACAAATAAGCATTTTAGTTGATGGCAGATTATTCCTTTGCCCCTTATTTCCATCAAAATGGTCTTTCTTTTCTCCTCCTGAGTTTCCCCTTAATGCCTTATGCTAATTCCTGTTGGTAACATGAATGACAAGAGAGGGAATCAATGCAAATCCAGGTGCTGCAGACAAGACTGACTGGTGTCCAGCACCCACCCCCCTCCCTGGAGAGAAGGAGATTAAGGGGAGCAGGAAAGGAGGGGGGAGGTGGGGACAGTTTTGTTAAGGGGATTAGTATTCAAACTGCTAAACATCAGGAAAACAACTTCAAAAAGAGATTCATTGTGTAGTGATAATGTCAGTCATGGCTTCAGGACAGGTGCAGAGAGCCTCGCCATGTGCTTTTGGGTTTGGGGCTGTTTTCACTCCAGGTAGTGGCAGCGTTTACTGGATGGATGGTCCACAGGGCCTTCAAGGAATTCTCAGCTTCATGCACATCAAGTTCAAGTTCTCCTGCAAAGCAGCCTGCCTGCCTACCAGTCAGGTCTCCTGTCTCTGTCCAGTATTCTTAGCCAAGAGCAATAAAAAGCGTTGTAAGAAAAGGGCAAATTTACACCAGGTAACAAACACTACTGGGAATATCTTCAAAGCTTCCAGCTTGCAGTGGAGCTGACACGTGTATTTCTCCACCTTCAGATGTTTAAAGCTACATATCACCTCTCTGGCTCAGAGTTCTACAGTGCTCCGCCCTAGAGAAGCCTGGCTCTAAACTGGTGCTGCGATTATGCCGATTATGCTGCTGAGCCCAGTGGCAGCAGATTTGGGCCATAAAATGCCACTGTGGGGGGGCAGTGTTAATCTCACAAACTGATTATGGTTGGGGCCTGGGGGGGCAGCTGTGATGTTGGGATGGAGCTCCAGGCTGAAGCAGCAGACCATGGCTCAAGTCCTGTCCATCTATTTGTGAGCCCGAATAAGTCAGGCAGCCTCTGTAGGTCAGAATTTCCAACCATGGCAAAAGCTCCCAGTCTGGCTAGGGCCTGAGGTCTCTGGTGGGGATGTTTTCTAACATTTAGTTGGGACGTGGGGAGGGGCTGAAAAAGAGTAGGTCCAATGGATGGGTTTTCTGTCACTTCTGCCCATTGAATTTATGTTGATGTTCTCTGTTGTAGAGTCTATCCAGTTTAATGGAGAACTGGTAAGAGTTTTGTGTTTAGGTGTTCCAAATCGTTGCTTTCTTCTGATGCCTTTTATTTCCCATTTTTAAAGCAAACGAATTGAGCAGTGCGTGCTTGCACGTGCCCACGCCATTCCAGTGAGAACTGAGCATGTCCAAAGAGGTGGGAAGATGAGCCTCCAGATTGCAGGGCTTAGGGGTGTAGACATTAAAAAAAAAGTTTTACTTTAATCAAGGTCATGGTTGCCTTATTTAATCAGAGTGTGTTTAAATGTTTACAGGATGTTCATGTGAATTTTATGAATCCTTCTGTCTTTGTGACTCACCCATCTGCCATAGGAAAAATTAATTTTCTCAGTGAGACAGAAACACACAGAGAAAGACTTCTTTCTTGTCCATGTTTAGTTGGTTGAACTGCTATGGAAGCAACAGGACTTGTACTCACAATTCTGGAGTATTTCTCCTGAAAAGGAACTCCCCGACAATGGCCAGCCAGCGTGTATTACCCTTTCTCACCTACCGGAGGGCCTGCTTGGCAGTTTTTGCCACTTTTGATGTATAGACGGGAATGCAGAAAGTGAGTCCTTTGCTGCCTGTGACCATCCTGCCAAGATAGTTCATCTCCTTTAAACTCTGACATTGCTTCAGAGCAGAGCTCCCCGAGGAGGACAGGAAAGAAGGGCAGCCCTACCTGGGAGGAAGGAGAATAGTCTCTGGAGTCCTCTGTCTATGGACCAGCCCAGGTGTGGGCTCATGCTCTAGGTTAGGGGGAAGGAAAAGGCCCCTTCTTGCCACAGAGCCCTCTTGTCCAGGATCTGTCCTGCAGGCCGGGGAGTTATAGAGGAGAGGTGGCCGAGAGGTGTATTTCACACCAGGCCTTTCTCACCCCTTCTTTACCTTCCCCTGTGTCTCACATAGTAGCCTTGGGCCCTCCTGAGTGAGCTGTTAGAGCAGCGGTTCTCAACCTGTGGGTTTCGACCCCTTTGGGGGTCGAACGACCCTTTCACAGGGGTCGCCTAAGGCCATCGGAAAATACATATATAATTACATATTGTTTTTGTGATTAATCACTATGCTTTAATTATGTTCAATTTGTAACAATGAAAATACATCCTGCATATCAGATATTTACATTATGATTCATAACAGTAGCAAAATTACAGTTATGAAGTAGCAACGAAAATAATTTTATGGTTGGGGGTCACCACAACATGAGGAACTGTATTAAAGGGTTGCGGCATTAGGAAGGTTGAGAACCACTGTGTTAGAGAGCTGAAGCACTGAGGTCGGAATGACCCAGGGAGGGAGGAAGCCCCTGGTTTGTGCTTCCCCCCCCCGCCCCCGCCCCCACTTCGAGTACCAGTGTCTACTGTGATGTGAATAGCTAAGGAGCACCACCCACCCTCCTGGTCAGCTATGGGGGAGCTCTGGTGGACACTCACCATGGTGAGTACCAGATGGGGCACGGGACCACCTGGAGCTCACTCTCACCAGGATGGTTTTTCCCTTTCCAGGTCCTACCAGGCCTGCAGGTGGACGCACCTGGCCTCTTCTTGGGGTCATTTTGTGCTGAGGGGGTCCATAGGATGAGGTCAGAGCCTTTACGTTAGTGGGGATTTCGGTTATTTCTGACAGTATGCTTTTATCAGCAGCATGGAAAGAAAACCAGGCTAAAAAATTGCTTGAGATTTGAGGAGAGCAGGTGAGAGACATGTTACTAGAGATACACCTGCTTGGTGTGATGAGGTTCAGTAACTGGGTACCTAATAAATTCTTTAATGGAGATGATCTCACCTCATTTATTAGGTTTAGACATGAAGAGGGAACCCCTTATTTTGGTGACCAAAAAGCTGAGTTATATTACCACCAAGGCCACCATTGAGCTTAAGAAAAACCCTCCCCTAAAATAATTCTGTGCTTTCGATATAAGTGAAAGTAATGGAGTTGTTGAGTATGGGATAGCTTTCTTTTAAAATTTCCTTTTAATTTAAAGTTCAAAACCCCATCATAATGCACATATAGAGACCATTTTACAATTCCTCCTCGTGTCTTGGTTTGGTTGTGAGGGGGACATGATGTCAAGCACATTCCGCATGTGCAGAAGAGTCCATTGCAGCCTCTGTAAATTGGCTGCATTTTTGTAATGTCTTAAGTCCTAGATAAGGGGAACTTGGACTATTCATTCTTTAATTTTCTTTCTCTAGACCTTTTTTTTTGTATCTTGTGGGGGCACTTGGGGGTCTTCAGGAGATAGAGACCTCTGATGTGTGGAGAATTAAATACTATTGCAGGGTAATTGGTCCTTGATGGGAGACAAAGAAGCTAGAGTACTTGAGTTCCTCCTCCTAGCGCACTGCAAATAGCAAGCAATCAGCTCCTTTTCTTATGGAAATTGACCTTTCTATAGAAATCGCGCTCTGACGTACCAAATCGGTTGTATAGAATTATTCCCTGAGAATTCTTAGGAGCAGATGCCTTGTACTGTTAGTGTGAAGCCACCGTTAAGGGTCTAAAAATATCCCAGGTTGTGGGGAAAGTGTTTCCCTCTAATGTTTTCATCAGCTGCGACTTGGTCTTTCCCTGACCTTATGGATTATTGTGGGGGGGTGGGGGGAACCCTGGGTACATATTGGACCCCATGCCTGGAATTGTGATGGTGAAAGTGAATGTTTGGAAGAGGGTGGAAGATTTTTCTGAACATTCACATCGCTCTTGATGGTGTCTTTTGAGTAGAACCTTGACAGTGATGTCACCTTTCCAGGTAAAACTTAGGCCAGACCAGCAGGAGCAGATCACAATGTAGCAAACTCCTTGCAGTGACATAAGACAACATGATTTTTACTTTTGAGCCCAGGGACCAAGCTCTTCGCTTATTCTGTTGAAAGTCTTCTCTCCATGCTTGGCAATATTAGCTAGAAAGCTTGAAGCCCTTCATATTCAGGGTTTTGTTTGGTTAAACAAAATGACGTAGTATTTGGTTGTCTCAGAAGGTAATACACACTCATAGGAGACAGCTGGAATGAAAACTCAGATCGGTTCTGGAGAGCCTTTAATGCAGTGGTGCTCAACCTTCTAATGCCGCAACCCTTTAATACAGTTCCTCATGTTGTGGTGACCCCCAACCATAAAGTTATTTTCGTTGCTACTTCATAACTATAATTTTGCTACTGTTATGAATCGTAATGTAAATATCTGATATGCAGGACGTATTTTCATTGTTACAGATTGAACATAATGAAAGCATAGTGATTAATCACAAAAACAGTATGTAATTATATATGTGTTTTCCGATGGTCTTAGGCGACCCCTGTGAAAGGGTCGTTCGACCCCCAAAGGGGTCGCGACCCACAGGTTGAGAACCGCTGCTTTAATGGGCCCTGCTAAGTGACAAAGGGCCCCCTCACCGGTGACGCCAGGCCCGGAGGGTTTCCTGCACGGAGGAAGCTGGGGCTGCCATGGCCTCTGGATCATTTCTCGTTTCTGACAACTGCAGGAAAATGTTGTTTTCTCTGAAAATGTATGTTTATTTAACTAGGTTTCTTTTTGCTTCACAATCTGGATTCCATTCCGTCAGTTACCACTCCAATTAACTAACAATTATTTAACATTAACAGTAATTACAGACGCCAGTTAAGCGCCTACAGATGTCAACTGTTAGCTTTGTACCTAATCACTCAATGAAATGGAGAAAGTTCAACAAACATCAATTAGCCAAGCAATTAGTATGAGTTAGGAAAGAGCATGTTATCATGTGTGAGCTGATTCAATTTATTTTATTTTGGCAGTAAAACACACACAGGCAAGCGGCAATAAGTTCCTCAGATAAGATAAAACACTATTGTTTTGCAGCTTACAGGAGAATTCTCTGCTTTCCTGTGCATAAGTCAAACATGCTCTTGCCTGGAATTTATTTAAGGATCAAAATTTGTCTCAGTTGCTAAGAAAGGCCAGCAATGCTCAGTCTCAGGCAGCAGCTTCGTTCGGTGAATTAGGAATCCAGTGGAGATGCTGTAAAAGGAAATGCCAGAAAATTTCAGCAGGGAAGTGATTGATTCCCACACAAGTAATCTCCTCCGAGCATTTTGGATTTTTACCGGTTTATTCCTGAACCTGTGGTGGAGCCGGTGCAACAGTGATTTTATGAATTTCATGGTGCCTGAACTTTTGCTCAGCTGTCTTTGATTTTAGCCTGGGGCAGCCATCAACGTGTTTTACCACTTGCCCAATCTGTGCTTTAAAAAAGCAGAAATGGCTCTCTGTGAAAGACCCTCTTACCACTAAGGGGATCTCACCAAGGGGATCTGGCCTGAATTCAGAGTTCTGTGCTGCTTCCCCATAACCCATGCCACCCCATAGACCTGACTTCCGTGGGTGGCTGAGCATGCCTGGGCTCACTGGGAGAGTGCATTCTAAGGCCTGATTATGCAGGGTGGCCCATACATTAGTATTTGGAGGTTCATTTTACCTGCAAGTGAAATGCTGGCTATAGGTGGCTATACCTCTGGATCCCCTCCTAGAAGTAAGAGATTTCTTGCCAAGTCCAGAACCTATGGATATGAGTGGAAGGAGCCCAGGTTTGTGAGGCACCCTATCAGTGCACTGTGATGTGATGTGATGTGATGTGATGTGATGTGCAGAAGTGTCCATGTGAGCAAGCCTCTCAGCAGCTCCAGGAGTTGAAGAATAAACATCCTGCCACTGGTATGGCGCGGTGAAGAGCCCATGTCCTGTGGGCGTCCCCGTTGTGCCCCTCTGTGGGAGTCAGCAGTATCACCCAGGTGGACGGTCCCAGCTGGCTCCTGAGAAGCGTGTTTGCCTTCGGCAGCAGTTCAGGGTCTCTGTCTGTCCCCTGTTGCACATTGTGCCGCAGAGGCTGTGACAACAAACGTATCATGATGGGTCAGCTATGGACCTGCTGCAGGCCTTGTCTTTACTCTGGGACCAGCTCTGGGCTGCTCCCATCCTGGTAGTTATCTTGGCAGAGGGAGAAGAGCAGGTCAGAACCGTAGAAGGGCCTCTTCAAGTCTCAGCTTGGAGGTGGTAGGCAGCATGTCTAACCATCTCACGGCCAGAACAAGACCCTGGGGCTTTCCCCGAGGTATTTTATGATCCCTGGAGTTTGGGAAGAACTTTTCTTGATGGTGGTGGGTCTCAGCCAGGACTTCTGGCATCCCAGAAGGTCCACCATTATCTGAGGAGGTGTGACCAAAATTGCCATGGTTACTGCATCAACTTCAGGCATCTCTGATTTTCTCACCTTCTAATAAGGTCATGTATCTCCATATTTCTATTCTCCATGCCCATTCCTGTGCCTGTGAGTGGACTGATCTTTAATTTTCAGCCAGAGTTTATTAGAAGTGACTTAGAATTTTCAAACGGGAGCATTTCCTTAGCAACTGGTGATGTAAGCCTGAGGCCCAGTTCTGTGCTGAGATGGGAGGGGTCTGTTCATAATGAGCCGTGTTCTGTGGGCCCTCCAATCCTCTCTGACCCTCGTAAACCTTGTCTTATAAAGGAAGGGGTTGAGAGCACATCATTGCTTTTCTAAGAGTCCTTTTGAAGAGGGAAATGTCTCAAGTGTGCCTGTTAATAGACTGATGTGGGAGGTGGTTATATTTGGATGCCTTTAAAAGCCACTTGGAAAACATTTTCCCCCCTCTTATCTATCACCTTTCACATCTCTCAGCAGAGTAACACTAAAACCTAATTTTAGCCAACATTACATCATTTTCTCATTATCTGTTTATAGCCAGGGAAGGCTTTTCCATAGTAAAGCCCAGAATGACCAACCATGCAATTCCTCTTTTTATATCAATTGCGGATGTTCCAAGTGTGGCCTGCCCTCCGCTGGGCTTCTTGGTTTGATAAACTCTTAGGACCTCTTTATCCGTCAACTGTATCCATAAACTTTGGTTTGACAAGGAGTCTTCTGAAATCAGCTTTGTCATCTGCTAAGTAAAGGATGTCAATGCTTATTCAGTTTGTTCCTTCAGTGAGTGTAAAGTGGAGGCCATGTTGAAATTACTCTTTCATTCAACAAATATGGTCAGGCACTGAGTACGTAACAGGCTCAGGACACACAGCAGTGGACAGAACACATTAAACACACAACCAGAAATTAAGGGTTTAAACTCAGAAAGAGACATTTCAGTGGTGTAATGGGAAAGAAGTCACTGACTGTTTTTTGTTTTTTTTAATGGCTTTAGGACTTTGTTAGGAGGAGAGTTGATGTCAGGTGAGCCCCTGTGGATCAGCAAACCAGAAACAGACCAGATCCCAGGTGGCTGCCACAGGTGTCACCCTTTCTGAGAGCCACGACATTTATTTGCCAACTTGTGCTCACTGTTAGACTCACACCTACCTCTTTGAGCTTCTCATCTGAAGAACTGATATTTTTGTTAAATTGGTTACTTAAGCTAATGAAAAGATTTGGGGGGACTGTAAAGTTCTGTGCATTGCCTATCAGTAGGACCCCCTTTTTTCATGTTTCCCCAGTTAGACTTGTTTGCTTAAACGTGTGTCAGGTTGGCATACCACCAGGAGGCAATGGCATGTGGCACAGTGAGCGCGGCGTTTAGTAACCGAAGATCAGGCTTGAGTCCGAGCGGGCCACCTGTGGCCACCGGCAGCTCACCCCACTGAACCTGTTTTTCTCTTTGGTTATGTTGGAAAGTTGGAGGGACTCCAAAATCCATCAAGGTCTAAAGGCCAGAGTTAGCTTTTCTTTTGAGTATTGTCGTTCCTGTTAGAGCCTGAAGCTTGTGCAGAGGCCTGCATTTTCCTAGACAGCTGAGAGCGAGGCTGTGAGCACTTGCTTATGCAAGGAGTGGTGCCTTGGGGCCAGTGCTGACTTCAGTCCTGGACTTGGTGAGCAAGAAAGGGCTGTGGAAGCCCCTCTGCTGTGCAGGAACTTCCGTCTCTGTAAGAAAGATCCTGGAGGTAAGAGGGGGCTGAGTCCCAGAGTCGGGGTGGGGAGAGGGGGAGAGAATCAGGTTCTACAATTTGAATGTCCATCCGTGATGAGGTAAGAACCTCCAGAATAAGAATAACAATGCAGAGTCCTTCTCTGCTGGTCTGCATTTTGAAAGGTGTTTTATCTGCTTCATAAATGTCTATAAAGCCCCACGGTATAAAGCACTTGGGTGCTGGTTCTTTTGTACTTGACCGAAGTGGAATGACTGACCACTTCCCTCAGGGGTTTTGCTACAGGTTAGATACAGAAGGGGGCAGGGGCCAGACTCCCAGAGCAAGGCCCTGCTTTAGAGCATCCAGGGCAAGCGGCCAGGTAGCTTCCTTTTCCGTGGAGTGACTCATTTTACCAAGGTGAATGGAAGTGGGGCCTGGGTGGACCATTCTAGATAATGTAGGGAATGTCGCCACCTCGCCATCCATCTTCCTCTGTCAGCAGACTCCTTCACCAGGCAATTCATCAGAACGCTGCTTCTTCCAGGGTTAATCCAGGCCTTCTTGACTGAAGCAATTTACTCCCTACTTTGCCTTTTGCCAGAAGGTAGTTGACTTCGTTGTCCGATACCACATTTGCTGTGCGCTGGATTTTAGCGTTATTCGCAGCCTTCTCGTATATGTTGGGGAAAGGTTGGTTTTAGAGTAAAGAAAAAGAGATGATACTTTAAGTATCCAGGTGTTCCGTAAGCGGTGGCACAAACTACAATTGTGAATGGATTTAAGGAGGAGCCAAGTTAAATTTTATTGTTGCCAAATCCATTGTGTGTTATTTAAGGGAATTGGGTTTGTCAACTGCCTCTCTCTCTCTTTCTGAAACTGAGAACTGCAGACAGGAAGAGTGTCACTGACGAGACACTGAGCATCTTAGAGGCAGATTCCTGGATTAGATGCAGGGGCACAGGTGCTGTGTGCTTTGGTCGAATATTAGCTTATACATTTTGTGGGGGTTCTTTTGGGTTTTATTTATGTTTTTTTTTGTGTGGGTTTTTTTTTCTTTGCACTTGTCTGTAGCGGCCACGTTGCCCTGTATAATGGCCTCTTCCTGAGCTGTTAGACATCAGATCAATTTGATTTCGACTCCCAGGGAAGTGGGAACTCCTGACCAGTAGTCAGGCTGGGGATACCTGGCTAGAGGATGGCTCTCCAGTGCCAATCTGGCCTCACTGACCGTGGGTAATTGATATGTGCCCGAATGGCCATTACCCCTGCTGGGCCGGGGCCTCACCCCCAGAGCACACCTTCATCAGGCTGGGGCTGGGTTTAGCCACTTTCCTCCTCCGGGCCCTTGGGTTGAGCAGACGGCTCCTGCTCCTCCTCCTTCCCTGTGAGCTCCAGGACAAACTTGAAAACTGCCTACGCGGAGGGATTGTCTGGCATTTTAAAAGTTAAGGCTGACTTTCGGAGCCTTCTCAGCATCCTGCCAGGTATCTTATCTTATTCAAATATCCTAATTGCTACTCAGGCTTCTCACTGCACATCATCCTAGCACCCAACTGACAAAATAGACCTTCACCTGAGGGCCTCATTATGCTTTCTGCCTGTGCATCAGGCCAAAAATACCTCCACAATACCCGCCCGACATCCTGGGCTTGCAAGTGACAAACAAATAATTGGGTGAAACAAACCCTGGGCGCCGAGCAGCTGCCATCGGTGTCGGAGCACAGAGGAGTCCCCGGCAATAACAGTCACGGCGCTGCCTGCTTCGTGTCAGAGCAAATCTTTGAACAGTGGGTTTGCTGACACCAGAGAATGACAGCCTTGGAAATGGCATGCTAGTTACTGCTGCGAGTGAGGCCTCTCATGTAGATCGTGACAAGCAGCTGTCATTTCCATACAGGTGAGCAACTGACATCCTAGAATGGGGAGGGCTGGGGGGAGGCAGGGGGCCATGTTTGGCAGGCAGGTAAGGCTGCACTGTGGAGAGGAGTCTCAAGTACTGGTGACCATTTGCACGGTGGCACACACTGGCCTTAACACACACACACACCTACACACCTGTCTTAAATTTCTTTAGAACTCATCTGAGACCCAGCTGCAGATATACGGTGTCAGCTTTTTGAGACTGGGCTGAGGCCATGGTGCCTATCCAGTGCCCAGCACAGCAGGCTTACAGAATTCACTTAAAGAATCTTCCAGTTCCACTCTGTGCCCTCCTCATCTTCTTGATGTGTCATGGATTTGGATTCCGGGGCCAGTACTTCGTTTTAGTGAAAAAGGCCAAGTCTCTGCTGGTAAGAACTCACCCCTGATAGGAATGGATCACCTGGAATTCAGGTGCAGGGTCGGGTCCAGACTAGGGCTTCTCACAGTGTGGTCCCTGGACCAGCAAGACCAGCATCCCGTGAGGAGCTGTTGTCAGATGTGTAAAATCCACTGAATCGGACACTCTGGGGTGTGGCCCAGCAATCTGCCTTGAACAAGCCTTCCAGGTGATTCTGATGCAGGTGACCACAGGTCTAGATGCAAGGAAGGACATTTGGACAGCGGGGTTTTTGTAAATGCTCAAATGATACATGGATCACTCGGTGAAATCCAGACTCCCTAGCAAATAGGGAGAAAGCCTGATCATTGTCCAGCACGTTTTTACTTACTTATTTTCAATATCAGGTGCACTGGAGCTGTTGAAAGTGGCACTGTGGACCCACCACTGGACTCAGTTGCCCCTTGCCCTGGATTCCTGTCCTTCCACTCTCTTCCCTGGTGCACAGGCCTCCTCATGTCCAGGAGGCTGGCCGATACCAGGCCTGTGTTTAGGGCTGTATTATAAAGCGAAGCTATCTGTCCTAAATGGAGTTTGGAACCATGACCTTGGGCCAGTGTTATACTGTAACCAGCCAAGCTAACTTACTCAACCGCTTCTCAAAGACAAACTGCTCTGTTCAGTTCCTGGTTGGCAGATGCTGCCTCACCAATGCCCACCTGCCATCTGTATGTGGGGTTATCCCAGCACAGGGCACAGCTACAGAGCAAGTGTGCTGTGGCTACTAGGAACTATTTGGTAACCAAAGTTCTGTGTAGATTCCTTATTCAACCGCAATTGCCAGGATTGTAGAATAATGGATGGCAATATTTTAAAATATTTTCTCTTCTATGCAAAATACTATAAAGTGCTAAGGCTATAAAATTATACCGAAGCTGGGTTTTTCCAAAAATTGACATTTTCTAAGATGTTTCATCAAGTTCACCTGAATATTAAAGCTTTCTTAGGTGTTCCTCAATAATAGACATCCCCCCAAGTGGGGTGTCAAACTTTTGCCTGCATTAGAATGCTCTGGGCAGCTGGCTAACACACAGGTCGGTGGGTCCCACCACCTTGAGGCTCAGGAACTTGCATTCCAACAGTTAACCAGTGGGTGCCAATGCTTCTGGTCCTGGGGGCACATTCAGGGATTCGTAGTGTGTTAAGGCTTTCCAAGTGTAAGTGCTTTCTCCAACAGTGAATATCTGAATTGAGAATCAGCTCAAAGGCTTAGCAAGTGTGTCTTTACATGTGACGTGAAATTTGCATATGAAAGTGAATTCCGTTTCCTAATGGATCCACATCAGGAGCTTTTTAAAACATGAAAATTGTCCAAATTAATTAAACATAGAGAACATTAGAATGAACCCTCGTGTGTACCCATTATCCAGATTCATATTTATCAGGATTTGCCACAGATGTTTGTAGGTGAAAGGATAGATGGGGTGATTTCTCTTCTCTTTATTGCTGATTTTATAGCTCATGGCATTTCACCCCTACTTACTTCAGTGTACATCTATTTTTTAAAGTTTATTCCTGTATAACCACATGCTGTTATCAGCCTGACAAAATATAAAATAATTCCTCAGCATACTCCGATTCCCATCTGTAGTCCCATCGCCCCGATTGTCTCCCAGGTGCCACTTTACACAGTTTATTCCCGTTCGATTCACCCCAGGGTCACGGATCAGTTACTTTAATCAGGAGCTTTCCACACTCTCCCGGCCTCCTATTCTCAAGCCAGTGGCTTGTTGCAGAAACCAGGTCAGCTGTTCCACATGCCGGAAGCAAGCCCTTGTGGTGTCGTTTAGTTTATTCCTCTGCCCCTCACATGTCCTACAATGGGAACTGGGCCCAAGAGCCTGGACTACATTCAAGTTAGACTTTTTGGCGAGAAAACACCATAGACGTTGCAGGGGCCCACGATGTCTGGGGGTCTCAGTTTTGGTGATGCCAAGATTGTTCAGTGAGGTCAGGCTGTGACAGACTGACACCCGCATTGTCAAGTTCCCCATCCACTTTCCTCCAGTGGTTTCACCCACTGGGGATAGTTGCCCAAGGAAGTATTTCATCAGGGATGGCAAAAGGGTGACGTTGCTATCTTCCCTCCACATTTGTCAGCCGAAAGAAATTCTTCTGTACAACAGTTTTCCCTCATCAACTAGAGCGCTTTTGTTGAAGTCAGGTACAATCACGGGAAAAGCAAGACAAATGTTTATTTTTTCTTTTAACTGCAACTTATAGAGCAAGAAGTTGTTACCCTTCTAGGAATTGTATTACTGTTTCTAAAACCCTTCTCTGTTTGCATTTTCCTTACAGTAGATCTAACCCATGCTTTTAATTTTTTGAACCTTTTCTTAAGTGGTTTGTGTTTATCAATGGAAGGGCCAACATATCTAAAAATGAGAGTGCTGTCTGAAAGAGCACCGTCAAATGGGTTCAGACACACGTGTGTGTCAATTTAAAGTTACGCCTGTCCTTCACAGCTCTGCTCGAAGGCCACGTCCTGCAGGCAGCCTTCCATCTGCCCATGATGTGAACGCTCCTGCAGGCTGCCTTTCCTACTAAAGCGATAGATGCTGCTGTCTTACCCTCTTTGAATTCTTCCCTCATCTTTCCCACGGTGACCAGCAGGGCGCTTTGCACGAAATAGGGGTTCAGCTTCTGTTTATTGGACATCCTGAAAGCTATTTCAAATCTTCGAATGTACGTTATAACCGGAGTGACCAAGTGACTTGATCAAAGCAGACTTGGAAAAGTTTGAATGTTACTTGATCTTATCGACTCATTTGGCATCATGAGATGGTCTGATGATCCCAACCGGTCCTTTTTCAGGAAGTGACCGGGAGGCTGTCCACGCGTATTGAGTGCCTGCAGTGTGCCAGGGGTTTTCGTGTTTGTTTAACTCAGACTGTGGCCCAGCCAAATAGGTGTTTTGCATGTGAGAAAACAATTCACGTGGGAAATAACAGCCAGTTCTTGTGTCCCAGTCTCCCAGGCTCCTGCTCTTCCTACCTGTGCCAGCCCAGCCTGCAGGGGTGGGGGCTATTGTTTGGTGAATTGAAAAATGCCTCCTGTCAACATCACAGTTTCCCATTCAGCCTGAACTGTTTGCAGGATATTTAGGTAAAAGTACTGATCATGCAGCTCTAGCCTGGGAAACTTGAGGGAGAGCAGAGTGAGGAACACCCACACTTTCAGCATATGTCAGATATATTTAGCCACTTAATTTAATGGAAGACTTAGTGTGATATTTAAACTTAACCTCCCACAAAAGTAGATTTTATATATTTATAGAACTGGAGCATTATATTGCTGATTAATTAAAAATTAAACTGGAAAAGCTGTAAAGGAATTTCAAGTGATGGGACAGCGGTTATAACTGGAGATCTTGGTGAAGTTATTAAAATTTTTATTGTTTGGAACTTATCACTTAATTTGGGAGTGGTGGTAAGGAGAGATTTATTGGTCGAGAAGGCCTCACTCAAGTAGATGGGAGAACTAATTCTCAAAGCCATGTTAAGAGAGCCCAAAATTCAGGCATCTACATACCCAGGGAAGGGCGAGTGGATGAGGCAAGGGGGTGGTGGGGACTGTAGACAGCCAGGCACCCAAAAGGGGTCCAAGGAAAAGTGGAAATTTCTGAAGTACCTTTTGGAGGTGTTTCTGTGTGGATGTGGCAGGGAGAGAAGGGTTTCCAGTGGGCTAGCACTCAGAGTAAGCTTTTTTTTCTCTCTCTCTTTTCTTTTCTATTTCTTTTTCATTTTTTCTTATAAAGCCAAATAGCCCAACCCATGTTGAGTTTTCTGATAGCCAAAGTTCAAGGAATCCCTGCCATTCATCCATGTTTCCTGGAGCCTCAAGCCCTCGCCCAGCCCACTCCTACCTGTGCTCACCTTTGGCTCTCTGTGGGCAGGAATGCCTTTTGAGGCAGAGCATCATGGTTAAGCTCTTTCATTCTTTAAAAAATGCTGCACAGAGGTATTAGAGCCCTGGCATGCAGGGTTTTCCAAGGCACTCACCGACACTCACCCTCCGAGCCTTCTGTTCCACCCCCTTGCCAACCACGGTGACTATGCAGTCATCTCACTTCCTCCATTCCTGCCCCCGGGCTGCTGTGTGTCCTGGAGGACGGCAGGTGACTGGGCTGATGGTCTTGTGTACATTTGTGCTCCAGCCTCCTCTGAACTCTGGAAGCATCCTGCCCCCCTTCCCCCCCCCCCCCCCCCCGCCCGCCATTCCCTCCTTCATTCCTTGACTGACTAGAGTAACTGCCCTGGGCCCCCTCCTACCTCAGCTCCCTGAGCTGCGCCCACCCCACCCACCTGAGGCCTGTCTGGAGGACTGAGCCTCTGTTGGGGAACAGCGTCAGTTTCCTCCTCCAGACCTAGGAGGTCTCCTCTTGACCAGGGGGGAGCTGGCTCCTTTGCCTTCTTCCCTGGCCACCTCCTAGTCAGTCAGTCTGACTCTCCCATCCTTGCTTGGCCCCAGTCTTTCCTTTCCAACTGGCTTTTTATTTCTTTGTCTCTCTTAATACCCTTAGATTAAAAAGCAAACAGCACTTAATGGGAAATTATAAACAGCAGCTCTAGCCCTGCTTCTTTAGGAATTTGAACAAATAACCCCTTTTTGGTATATTTCTCTCATCCCCCTTCCTGTAAAATACCTGGTGTTTGCATATCTTCTGAGTGGTAATTAAGGTGACTATATTACTTTCTGTCCAGACCAGGGCACTTGAAAGTGAAGCAGACGACTATAATAATTACTTTGGGCCCTGTCTTTGTAGCTCCGTTGTTGTCCCAAAAAGAGGGGAAAAAAAACAAGCTTACTCTGAGTGCTATCCCATTGGAAATTCTTCTTCTCTCCCTGCCACATACACACAGACACACCACCAAAAGGTACTTCAGAAATACACCAAAGTTGTGGGTTTGATCCCCAGTCAGGGCACATTCAGCCAGTGAATACATAAATAAGTGCAACAACCAATCAATCTCTCTCTCCTCCCTCCCTCTCTTCCTCTCTAAAAGCAATCCATCAATAAAAAAAAATAATAATTGCTTTGGGACAACAGATTTAAACTTGGATTGGCCATATGCTCACCCTAGTGATAGTCCAAGTTCTTTCACAGTTTGCTAATGTGCCTCAATCACTAGCGATAGGAGCTAACATTGACTGAGTCCTTAGCTATAAGCCAGAGTGCGGGTAGCCGGGGAAGATGGCCCTGATCGCAGGCCAGGCCTAGGGAACGTACCCGCGCATGAATTTCGTGTGCCGGGCCTCTAGTAATAATAACAGCAGCAGCAACACTTGCTGAGTCCCGAGAATGTGGCAACTGCTCTGTTGGGCCCTTCATATACATTCTCTCTGATGGGTAGCGAGCCCCACAGGCTGATATTATAACTGCTTTACAGAGGCTCAGGGAGACTTCTGCTGAAGGCCACCCAGCTGACATGTGTTGAAGCCAGGATTTCATTCATGTTCTCTTCATTCATTGATCGGATATTTGACTACCTGTTTATGTCAGAGACTGTGCTAGGAGCAGTGGACATTGACACGGACGTGGCTCATGGTCTAATGGGGTAGGCAAATGTTGACTCCAGGTCTGTTGGACCATGACCTACTTTCTTCCTCACTTTCAATTTTCCCTGCAAAGGTTTGCAAAAGGAATTTTATGGTGCAAAGTTGCAGATCTACAAAAAAATTATAAAGAAGACAATGGGATGC